GAAATTGGTGTGTCAGAGAAAGGAGACATGCAAAATGTGCAGTGTTGGGGTGCCTCCAGGACCAGGGTTGGGAACCACTGGAATAGTGCACAAAATGTGACAAAAACGTCTAATAATGTAATTCTAGGAACGACCATTAGAGGGAGCCCCAAGCTCAATTTTGGGGGAATAACAAACAGCATGTGCCCTGGCAGGAAATGTACAGACACACCCTCTGCATACCAAGAGCCCAACATTAACAATATGCTTATAACTTATAAAACAACCACCAGCTGAATAAGCTGAGCTCTCTATGAATGATCAGGGCAAAACGATCTGTAAAGTTGTACAAAATATTGAGACGGTGATCATAATATTCTGAGAACTGAAGGGTGGGCGATGAGTGTGTGTGTGTGTGTATGTGTGTGTGTGTGTGTGTGTGTGTGTGTGTGCTGATTGGGCAACAATGTACTGAAAGTGAATGAGTGATGAATTTGTGTTTGCTTCTGTTTGCTAGCCAACACCCTTAGAACAAGCTAAATATTTGGCACTAAATACAGATAGAAAGAGACATGAAGAATAATGGTAAGACGTGAGTGAATATCAGCGAGATGTCAAATGTCTCAAACAAGTCATACATGCCAGTATGACTGAGTGTGACCGTAGATATGGGCCTTATTCACTAAACATGCATATTGTGTGCAAATGTTTTCAAACAGAAATAATGATTCATCAAAATTCATACTGATTATTTATTTCATATTGAGAAGTTTATATTTTATTCTAAATTTATGGAAAACAGGGATATATAAAATATATAAATATTTTATAAAAAAATAAAAAGAACATAATAATACTACTACTAATAACGAAAAAAAATTAGTTAATTTAAAATACTAAAAACAACTGACAGACTCCTAGTGGCCTTATAATGGAATTAGTTTTTTGTTAAATATAGATACATATTATTTGAAATTGAATAAGCATGTAGCTCTATAATAACTGTTAACAAATATAATATGCATTAGACTGATGTGGGATAAGTCATGCATAAAACAGAGCCTGTCCAGGCATATGCATAACTGGCCTAATATGGCCAAAACTGCCCATATAAAAACAGGGTTTGGCTGTGTATTATGCTAATACTCATTTAAAATAATGACACTGAAGATAAGAACAGATATGTAACATTTGTCTGTGCACAAAACAACTGCATTTTTAGTGCACAAGGCCCAATGACAGAAAGACAAGGAAAATGCAGTGAGAAAGAGACAATAACAGTGCGACTGTAATAGAAAGGCATAGAATGCTAATGTGGTGCTGGGAACACTGGAGACTTTAAAAGTGTGTGTGAACTACAAGAATGTGAGTCACATGATTAGAAAAGGGCTAAAAACAACACACTGAACGCACTGATAGTAAAAGGCCTCTGCAACTCGCCTACCTTGGGAACATCTTTAGGCTTCTCAGGAACTCCAGCAGGTGTTTTCTTTTCCTGAATGGACAAATTAACGATTAGACTCAAAGATGACTAAAATAGTGACTGAAAAACATGCGTAAAACAATACTTTGAATTAGACAGAAACAATGAAAACAGACTCTAAAAGACTTTCACACATCAGTAAGCTGTAATTAAAAAGGCAGGTTTCATGAAGGCATTATGAACAAAACAGAAATGCGAGGAGAGAGAAGGAATGATTGTTTGAAGGGACAGTTCACCCCCAAAAAGACAGCATGGCTTCAGAAGACTTGTAATATAGCACACAAGCCCTTCTTTAGACTACTTTTATTATGCTTTTGGTGCATTTCTGTCCATTTTGAAGCTTAAAGGGGTCATATGATGCAATTTCAAGTTTTCCTTTCTCTTTGGAGTGTTACAAGCTGATCGTGAATAGATAAGATCCCTAAAATTGCCAAGACTAAAGTCTCAAACCTAAAGAGATATTCTTTAAAAAAGTTAAGACTTGTCCACACCCTCCTAAAACGCCTCGTTTAAACATGCCCCCACATGTCTACGTCACTGTGTGGGAAGATTTGCATAACGCCGCCCAAATGTTCACGCAAAGAAAGGCGGCGTAACTTTTATTCTCGCTGTAGTATTGTTGTTGCCGCCGCCATGTTGTGGAGACGCTGTGTGTTTCATTGTGAAAGCGAAACTACTTTGTTTGGCCTTCCAAAAGAGGACACAATGAGAAATCAGTGGTTAAGTTGTATTTACAACACTGTTCCAGAACAGTTCAACCCAAATATTCAGATGTGTGCAGCGCATTTTACGGAGGACAGCTTCCTGAACCTGGGAGAGTAGCCTACAATGCTGTGCACAAAGGTTGTTTCTATAAAGTGGGGCAATTCCAACTTTGCAAGGACAGTCTGGCGCTTCTGACTCACAGCCTGTAAGTACATTTTTTTATATTTAAAGAATTTGCCACTGATGATTCAAACGCGAGTTTGAGCAGTGTAGAGTAGCACTTATTGTTTGGCATTTCTCCGATCACAAATGCAGACATGGTTTTATGTTTACGCGGCGCAATACGCAAAGCAAAGCGTAAAAACACAGTATAAGTCATTACAATCAGTAATTATGTCCCCACTGGATGCAACAAATGCCTCGTTTATAATGGGTTTTATTGGTTTTGTCTCGTCGCTCCGGCCGGGACACGGCGTCACAGTATGTTAAGGGATGTAACATTTCCGTCACACGAGGTATTCGGCCAATCACAACACACTGGATAGCTGGCCAATCAGAGCACACCTCGCTTTTCAGAACGATGAGCTTTGTAAAAATCGACGCGTTTCAGAAAGGCAGGGCATAGAGGAGCAACAATAATGTACAGTATACGTATATGTACAGCAACGTCATATGACCCCTTTAAAAGCCTCAATCTCCATTAATTGTAATTGCATAGAAAAGAACAATCAGCATATTCTTCGAAATTCTCATTTTGTGTTGCATGGAAGAAAGCAAATCATCCAGGTTTGAAACAACATATTTTTGGTTGAACTATCACTTTAACTACTAATAAAATGAAAGGATCAGAAAAAATAAGCAGTTAAGAATTTGTATGATCTCCAACTGACCAGGTCTGCTCGTCGGTATCCGGGCGGCAATGTGTCATCTCTCTCACCACAGATAAAACCCTTCTCTGCTTTTACATTTGGCTGAGACATGCAATACATTCCATTAGAAAACACACGTGTAGAAAGACACGTGCTGTTAAATAATCAACATTCACAAACACATGCTATTATTGCTTAAGTTTTACACATCACTCTAATATCTATACTCATGCAGTACCTCTTTGACCTCTGGTCCAGTGAATGCTGGGACTTTAGGAGCCACAGGTCGTGATGATGGTAATGTGCCAGACAGGGCATCAAACGGATCTACATCCTACACACAGGCATAAAAATAAACTCAGTGGGATGTTTTTAATATACAGAGTATCTGATAATCACACAAAGATAAAGTCAGCATGTAGACTCACCTCCGTACTGACTTTAGCTCCTGGAGGACCCACTTCCACTTGCACCTGCAGTCCAGAGCAAAATACCTTTTTATTATACTCCATACTGACATACCTGGACTGCACTACCCTACTTGGTCATTCCCAGGTATCACATATATTTTCCTTTGGGAGGTTTATCAGTACACTACCATTCAAAAGTTTTTTATTTTATTTTTTTATTTAACTGATCTTAATCTTTTGGAAGGTTAGATGAGCGTATTAATCTTTTAAAAGGCATAATTATTTCTTAATATGATGTTTTATGAACTTATATTAACTGAGGGACTACATGGGAAAAAAGTATTTGTTACATCACAAGATCATAAACATTTTCACAAAACTGACGACAATTGAAGGCAAAATAAGTGATTAAAAATGGTGAAAAACCTAAAAGAAATTGTGACCAGTTACAGGACCTTATTCTTATCAGTATAAATTAACCTGAAATCTTAAAAAATGTTATGCGTCAACTGCTTGTGCACGCAAATACAATGCTTACAATAGAGCACAATGTTTCCCAGATGATTTACAGCCTTTCTAACGTTTTCTTGCCAGTGTACATATGCTATCTGGACCAACAAGAGTGGCTTTACATCCTGCAGTTGTGCACTGTTTTGTTTTGAAATGTGTTACATTGAGTTGGCGGTAGCAGTTAGTAAAAAAAAAAAAAGTAAAGGATTTCCCCCAAAAGCCCTTTTAAAATCCAATAAGATACACTGGGTGCTTCTTTTCAAGCACAAATGTCCAGTATTTGCACCTTTAGCATGAGAATGTGAGGGTAAAATGATGTAACTCTGATGCACTCCTGATGATCATTCCATTAAAGTACCTTTTGAGCGCTGGTCTGCTTTTGCGCACCGGCCGGGGCTGAGGGCTTCCCAACAGCCGGATCCACCTTAGCAGCTCCCGGTTTGGATGAAGGAATGGTTGTACTCTAACAGAAGCATACGCACCACATATTCGAGAATTAACACCAAGTTTAAAACCAAAACTGAGCAATTGTGAAGCCAAAGCTAACCCAGAGAGCCAAAGAGTAGAAAGATAAGATAAGTTTTATCTTTTCAGGAGTGCAATGATGCAGCTCCTCACAAATGTGTGAAAGGTGAACGCCATGAGAGTGGTGATCAGAGAATGAGACATTGCTTAGGTGGGATTATCCATCAAAAGAAAATTCTTGAAGTAAAAGCAGCAATAACTGGCATGCAGAAGATGATATCACAAAAGCGGCATGTCCATGAAGTCTTGTTTGCAGAAGAAGATGGACAAGAGAAGCCAAACGCCAATTAATGCTGTGCACTGGTGTACCTGGGCCTTGTCTTTCAGAGGGTCTGTGAGCTTCACTCCTGTCGTTCCAGAAGGTCCAGTCCCAGAGCTCACAGTTGGGACTTTAGCAGAAGGTGCAGGTGTGGGTTTAGAGACTGTGGCCTGCAATCAGTATGCAGGAGTAAGAACGGAATACAGCAGATCCTCAAGATGCACTTTAAATATGAAGATGAGATGGATGGATAAAACCAAATGAAGATGGTTTGCAGATGGGGTTTAGTTTCGAAATGGCAGAGGAGAAAATTTAAACTTGATGTTCATCCCAAAAAGTCATGAATGTGTTCAGCATTGAGACCCAAAGAACAAATACCAAAAACACCATCTCCATTAGACAGAGAAGTTTGTGCAACAAACGGTCCTACAGATGTTTTCCAGATGTTGTGGAAATGGAAACAGCCCAAACGTGTTGTGTTAGTGTTCACCAAAAATGTTAACCAAGAATGAAAGCAAGAAATCAAGTTAGGAAAGAAAGGCAAAAAGAGTGTTTGAGAAAAAGTGCAGTGTGGCCCTGATGAAACCCAGAATGAGGAAGATGTAAAGAAGCCTGTAGTCCGATAAAATCCAGCAGATGGTGTCTACCTGTGGCGTGACTAGAGAAGGTCCTTTCTGAGTGGTGGTGAAGCCTCCACCTCCTGCAGCTCCCGCAGCAGATGCTCCTGAAGGAGCTGCTGGGGTTGCAGGCATGGTGCTGGGTTTGACAGTCACAACTGCAGTAGACGATTGTGTAGGTCCTTTCTACAATGCAGATGTGAAAATGGCAATCATATATCATGTTCCTGTGGCTCAGTGGTAGAGCATTGCATTAGCAGCGCAAAGGTCGTGGGTTCGATTCCCAGGGAACGCACATACTGGTAAAATATGTATAGCCTAAATGCACTGTAAGTCGCTTTGGATAAAAGTGTCTGCTAAATGCATAAATTATTATTAATTATTAAATTATATCATGTTTAGAGTGTTTCTTGTTGAAAGGCAATGGGATTATGACAGATTCAATCATATGTCTTTCACATGAGCACCTCAGCTTAGTTGTGCCAGAATGGCATTAACTATAGTCTTGCAAAACACATTCCCTGGGCAGTTCTTTATTTGTATCAGAACATGAACATTTATTTTGATCAGATATAGTAACTTGTTAACCAGGGAGTTTTGGGACGAGAGATACAATTAACAAATCACACAAACAGCAGTTACAAGCAAGCAAATCAAAAGCAAACTCCAGCTGTAACTAGATTCAGGAAAGTGAGTCATAGAGCAGACACTCCTCATGGGAGACACCATGTCCTGCCACAACCAAATATCCCAACATGCTCTGTCCAAAGGCAACAGACAAGAAAAAATAAAAGATTTCTGTTAACAACAGTCTCAAAAAGCAACCAACAATGTCCTCTAAGAGTCCATGTAAATACAAGAGGAGAGTAGAAAGACGTCTTTGTCTTTTATATCTTTGCTGTATTTTTTTTAATGGTGCTGCTTGATAAATCAAGCGTCTCGACAACCACCCACAACACCCTAGTATTGTGGCAGTGTCTTTTGCACTGGCAAATCATTGCAAAACATACTGTTTTTCTTCTGTTTTTTCCACAAAAAGCTTGTTCTAACTCGGTCTGCACTCTCTTTTACTTCCTCTCCTCTTTAGGATGTTAAGCATCCCGTAACTTCTTTGGAATCCTTTTATCATATACTGTAGGTGCTCAACATAGTGTGCAAAAACACTCTAAACATTCTCCTAGTTCCTATAGCTTTCTGTTGAATAGGACAAGAGTGCCTTATAAATGACTACTCAGGGGAAAGATATATCTACTTGTTTTTCTTTGTGTGTGTGTGTGTGTGTTATATATATATATATATATATATATATATATACACACTTCTATATAGATCTCAATTTATTTCTTATTAATTGAGAAAAGGAGAAAATCTGTAAGAAAACAGGAACCCTGTATTTTTTCCCAGTAGTCTATCTATACTATCGATTCAAGCTAATTCATAATAAATGTAGTGCAATATATGCAGACATTTGTAATTTATATCTTATTATTAGGAATATACACATTATCACAGCTGTGAGTATGACTTGAGGGCAGGCAACAAAGTTGCTTTCCACCATCTTAAAGGAACAGCTTTAAACACTTTATCTGAATGGACAGAAGACTTTTCCCATTTCTCCGTTCAGCTACGACACAACACCTCTTAAAAACACAGTAGCATCCCTCACAGAACAGACACCTGAATAGTTCCAAGGAAAAAGCAGACGGCTATCAACAACCAGTGGAGACATGATGGGTCGATAAATTTGTAGAGTGGACTATAAACCATTTTGTAGAATATGAGTCATTCCATCAGACAAATAAATGAGATAATGTGAATAAATGGAGTAAATGAGAGAAAGACTGAAAACAATGAAGGATCTTACCTCATATTTTGCAGGATTCGCTGTGGAGACCTGAGTTGTTGGGGTGGGTGTGACCTGCTGAGACTGCAAAAAGAAAGACAGAAAGAGAAGAGTTGAGTGTTTGAGAAAACGTAATGCATTTACATTATTATGAAAAGCATTACTGCTGCTATTAATAAATAAAAATGCATTAGTGCACTATGGAACCCATTACTTTCCCTGACCTTCTCACTACATTAAAAACAGCCAGAATCATATGCAAATCATGAGTTTAGTGTGAAACATAAGGTCATGCTGAATTAGAGAGAGGATAAAACCCATGAATGCATCATCAAACACACTTAAATATTTGTGAATGATTTCAAATGTGAGCAAAAATGTACCAAATGCAAATCAAATGCATCATTAATAGATACAAATACAAAACACTGAAGCAATAACAATCCTACATGACTTACTGTAAGGATTAAATTGTTCAGTAGCTCTACCGGTTTACAAACTGCATTTTAAACAAGGGCTTTTGTATAAGTAGGCAAGACCTTTAACCCCCAAACCACCATAATCATCATCACCGAACTTTTAAACACAGCTGTGCCATATATGCAGCTGCTTAAGGATGAAATGATCACAGCCCATGGCTCGTTTTTCTATTGGCCTTTACATTTTCTCAATGTTCTTCTACCCAGAAGGTCTGTGAACATAGCGTCAAAGAGCACCCAACATATAGATTTACTGCTTTGATGCTCCCTGAAGTGTTCTAACAAGCTCAGCAGGTTTGAGGTTATGTAACTGAATGAGGGTGGATTGTTGATGATGAAATACAAAGAACCAGAGATAATGACACATTTAAATAAATACTCAATGTTATTCATGTGATAAAAGCTCTTCCTTTAAAATCTGAAGTTGTTGTCCAATCAAGTGATTAGCGACAGGACATTTTGTAGATATATTTCTATTTATAGAGTATTGCACTGAATAGCCCCACCCACTGTGAAATCTCATCGGTCCAAAATTGACTTCCATGTAACTCTACATTAAACATCAACTATATCTTTTGATTGTGTCACATTGTCCTACATGACCTACTTGACATAGAAAACATGCTACATGGTTGTCATGGCAGGTCAGAGGAACTTAAAAGAATTTTAAAAATATAAAAGATCACTTCTTTTTAAAGACTACTTTGTCCTTTTACTTTCTTCGTGTTCTTCAATTTATTAGATTTAATCATTAAGAAATAAATAAATGCATAACAATGATAACAAAATATGATTAATTACGACAAGAACAACAGTTTTTTATTATTTATTCCCAATAAATTGAAATATTATTAATATTAATAAAATAATAATAATAATAATAATAACAAACATCAAGCATTATCCAGTCTTAAGGTTTTTCAGATTTATTAGACAATTATTAAACAATAAACAAAAAATATATAATTATTATAATTAATATTATAATAATTTGAAATATTACTATTATTAGTATATAATTATTATTGTAATAATAACATTACTATAATCATTACTAGAATTATCATTATTATAATTCTTAAAATAATCATTGTTGTTGGTTGTTTGTTTTTTTTGGGATACTGACAGCCAAGAAAGACAGGAAATAGTGGTGTATGATGAGAAATGGCCAGATCTCTCAAGATCACACATCAGAGCATATGTGCGAACCACTAGGCCACAACTTCTACCACATCTTTAAATTAAAAGAAAGAGCTCACAGTATAGTCATTCAGGAAGACACTTCGCTACCAAATAAGCCGTGAAAGGGCCTTTAGCATACATTCAACAGTCGGTGTTCTTTCTCTGCGCCACTAAATAAAGATACATGAGCAACAATGATAATACAAGTGCTGGCTCGGAGCATATAGACAACATTAGAAAAAACTCTTACAAGTATTTTTTTTTTCGGAAATACTTGGCTGATACCATAATAACCCAACCCATTCAACAACAATACAACAGAAAAATGTGGAAACCCATAAGAGAGCTACTGTGAGTACATGAATTGAATGAGCATGGGTGTAGAGCTAAAGGTTGCGTGCAAGAAACCACCTAGATACATGCTTTTTAGTCAGGTAAACACTATGCATGCTCAGCAATAAAAAGTTTTTTTTTTTTAAAGCATTATGGGTAAATTTGTGGGTAAACACAGGGCAGGTACGATTTAAAAGTACAATGTGTACAGAAGCACTGAAATGAATTTGATGCTGACTCAGTGCACTCAAAACAGATCTAAACATTCCACAGATCTCAATGTAACCACAACAGATGATCCTCTAAATAATGAGCAATTTAAATCATTTTGCTTTTAAATGTTATGATTAAAATAGTCTAGGATGGCTTTTGCTGATGTCACTGACACAGAGACAATGTGTCAACACCCAAAAATAGGCCCAAAGGCACACATGACTCAGACCAGCCTAAATGACGAGCTCACATTGTTATCTCAGTATCATGATGGTCAAAATGCCTAATGGACAATCTAACTACTAATGGATCCCTCACACAACAATGTCTGTGCACATTTAGCAGAACAGTCCAAGTTTGACAACTCCTCCCAGAAACCTCACTGTGTTAGCAGGCGTTAGCTAATGTGACAAAGGAAATAGCAACACGGGTTGGGTACAAACTACACAGGTCTTCTTCAACCTGTTTTAGCCTCCATGCCACTCCCCACTTCTAATTCAACCATCCTGAAGAAGCAAGTTTGGTGATTTGTAAACAGAAGTAAGCTATGATAGCATATTAGCATTGATTCTTCCCAATCATCCCAATAGCTCAAACTCCCTCAACAGCACTACTAAACAGGATAAATCTGCGGTTTATAGGCCATCAGCAGTTACCTCATTGTTTGATTCTATTCTTTAACAAAAATCATGACTAATGCACGTCTCCAGCCAGATTACCTCAAAAGTACCCTCTGTGGTTACAGAGTTAATCCATTGTGTGACGTCTTAAGTTTCACATTCAACACGTTTGTTTAAGACCAGCTATTAGGTAACTATGACGATAACATTTCTGTATTATGACAACTAAGATGTAATGACGATATGATGTTAGCAGTTAGCACTGAGGTTTAAGGATGGGAAGGTTTTACTAGCATAATGAGAGGTTCATTAGTGAATAGATTAGCATGACACGGGGCAGATTGTATTTCAAGACCAACTAGTTAAGTGACTGCAATCAATTCTGGGACTACAGAAGTGATTTATGCAAATATGATGAATTCTGACTGATTCTGACTGATAATGACTTAAATGTTGGCTTGTACATTACAAATGACATAACATTATTATGAGGTAACATCCTGGATGTGGAAAATGACATCAAGTTGCTACTTGCAAGCAATCAAGTATGCACTTCAAGTATGTACTAAATGGCCAGCAGCAAAGTGTAGAACTGAGGAAAATTAAATGCAAATAGTTTTGTAGATGCCGTAACTGCGTTCTTGTGAGCCCACAGCAATGGATTTATATTTTAAACATTTAAAGTTGATGTACGTACAAGTGAGGATACAGATTCATGATGGCACTAGTGTAAACTATGCAACTCTATGCTAGATTCCATCTGGTTGTCACCTTCAAGCAAAATCTGAAACCAATCAGACAGGGTGTAGTGTGCTTGTTGCATTACAAAATGAATTAATTCTCCAGCTATGCTTCCAGACATTATGTAGGCCTATTACCTCTTGACATGAGCGTAAGTAAAAATGGAAGGTTACAAAATATGAAAATGGCACACTGATGCCACAAGCATCTCTAAAATGTGAACATACAGTAGTGACAGACAGCTCTCGTTCTGACATGCAGAATTGCTGATCATAAACTTAAAACCTTCTAAAGCTAAAAACCAATGCAGTCAACAACAAAAAAGTAAACTTAGTAACCAGCTTTTTTAACAATTTCCTGATTAGATGAAGTCTGGTCAGACAAATCAGTAAGAGATGAACTGAGGCCTTTTCAGTCTCTCAGACAACAATGAAACAAGCAGTTTCTTTCGTGCCAAAAGCACTGTAATCATTTCCACAAACTGCAGTGCAGTTGGCACAATCTTTAGCTATCAGATACAGCGGCAGGAAACCACAGACAGAAATGCAAGAGCTGCAGATACGTACCATCTGTAACAAAACAGTGTTCCGTTTCACTTTACCCTGTAATCCAATCTAGAAGAGAGTCACTTCAAATTCCTTCAACCTAAAAAAAAACAAAATATATCCCTTATGCACACATATACGCATATACTAACAGAAACACGCCCAGCAGTGAAGCCAGAAGCCTTCAACTCCTCCCACTCCACCACGTCAACAGCTGATGCCCCTCCCTCCAAGTGCAGAAGTGTTCTGACTGGTCGAGAGGGGAGAGGCTCCACCCATCTACACAGTGAGCCAGGAAAAATAAACACAAGACTGTTTCCATACTACTAAGGAAGTTGGAGTTGGGGTGTTGGTTATGGTTTTTTAAAGATAGGCCCGACTGCAGTGGTTTGAAGGGGTCTGGGCTGATAAGTTGTGCACGTTTCTGTAGAGGCTGGTGAAGAAAAAAAGACGCAGTGCAGGCAGTGCAAACCTTCCAGTTCATGCCTGTCAGACTGGGTGTGTCTGGTACACTCACTGCTCAGGAATCTGAACTGCACAACCTACCATCAGCCCAGAGAAAGAGAGAAAAGTATCACATGCGGGTAAATCCACCACACCCAGAGCATGGAAAAAGAACAGAGAAATAGATAGAGGGAGAAAAAGAGTTAATGCACATAAGGTAAAAAGACAGAGGATGAAAAACAACTGGGTGAGTCATAAGCCCTGCTTGAAACGGAAGCTCGGACTTGCTGCAGAATTGGTGCCAGCGTGTATGTAAGAGGAACATGGTGTAGTTACGTAGCTGCCGCACACTTCGACTTCATATACACTCCTACTGGTAAAACAGGCTTAACTGGTTTGTCTGTTAAGACAGGATGCCATTTTGACTACAAACCCCAAACATGGCAAAACCAAGCCCACTTCTATGGTAGAAGAGCGCCCTCTGGTGCACACATTGGGGAGTCAAACATCAAAAGTTGATCAATGAG